GCGGAGGTGGAGGGTGCAGTTCATGCACTTCCGCCCTGCGGCATGGCCTTTGGACCATTCCATGAATCTCTCAGTCCATTTAAAAGTCGCGAGTAACCTTCCACTTCAAATTTTGTGATGTTCAGGGATGTTTGATTACTTGTAAAGGAAACAAGTCGCATCTAATTTGAGAATGGCCAATTCGAAGTGGCGAATTCAAACTTCCCTAAGCTGTTCCAATGACAAAACCCACTGAAGAGTTTCAGTATTTTCAACAGTGCACAGTTATTTTCGATTGCTAATCACTCAAATCATGGGAACTACATTGCTTGCACTACTGCACAAAACGCCAAATTGACGGGGAAATTTGAGGTTTATTGGAAACTTCTCCTTAACCTTTCAGTTCCTGCAGCAGATTTCGAAAATTCAGCATGTATGGAAACACCGTTCGAGTCTGAAGCTTCTTCGTTCCTCTTCCCAACGTCGGCAAAATTCAATCTGCGATCGCATTACCACTTCCACAACTTCGCCAAGTAGTAACCTCAGCAGCATTCGCCTCAGGCGTCTTGGAAGGCGGATGCAAAGGCGTCGTCTGGGTCGGAATGGTGGAGCTTTTGTTCAAGCCTTTGAAGATGTGCTCGACTCAGCCTCAGACCTCGAATATACGTCAAGCAGTGAGCAGTCCTGTACCACTGTCATATACTTGGGTCGCTCTCATCCTCTCAGAAAGCTAAACGCTTCGGATCGACCTAAACGGCTGACTACTATCGAGAAGAAGGAGGTAAATGACCTACGCACCTCAATACAATACACCCCTATTTACTGACACGAAGGTAGTCAAGTGTAACAAACATATTTCAAAACCTCATTGTCTTGGAACTGGTGTTTTTTGTTTACTTTAACGAGAACACAGCAAGCACTGAAAATGACTAAAATGTAGCACCATCATTGACGTTGATAATTCGCGTTCACCTCAAGTCATGTCACTGAGACGGGGGTCTTTTTTTCTTTCTATTCACATTCCATTTTTATTCTTTGTACATAAGGTGAACCTTCTTTCGTCAATTGTTTGTATCGGCTTCAAATAGGACGTTTTTTACCAGTCACGAGAATTCACCTCCTCCATCTCTAATTCAAGCACACGTGTGGTACCCTTCTTAGTGGCCACACAAAACAAAAGACTAGCACGATATCCTGTTTATTGTCAGCCTCAAAAAAGGCATGTGTAGTCTCCAACCAGGGATTGCTGAAGTGCTGTCGTTCTTCTCACCGATTTCTAGTAGATATTAAAGACTCCAGAATGGAATAATTTCGAAAACAATACTTTCTCATCGGAAATTAGGCTCAAATGTACAGTGACTAGACAGTTTGAACTCTTACCACGAACGTAAGCGGAAGACCTCGTTCGCCATTGCTTGGTCCAGGACGGTTTACTTCTCACTGCAAAGTTGAAATTGTTTGACATCCTTTTAAGCACTAATAATGAATGAGTACACAAATCGCGCACTTGTGGAGGCCCTTTTCGAAATTCCGAAGCGCATGTAATGAGGACGGCAGAAAGAATTCGAAGAGAGAGTAAAAATTTTAACATATCATCATAAATCAAATACAAGACTAAAACAATCGCTATTTCAAGCTTGACGCTGCCTTGTAACTATGTTCAGTGGATGTTTTTACAATGATCAGCTCTTTAATATATTTATTTGGGCATCCTTTTTGCCTCCTGCCCGTCATCCATCCTCCTTTTCCTAATACCGAACCACCGATTCCAAAAGTCATTAAAAGTGTGCTTAGACCAGCCAGAAATTAAACTCACAATAAAGGACACGGATCGAAAGATTTTCACACAAACTACAACATTTTAAAATGAGTTTCTGCGTTTGCTAGAGTCCTCATGGCATTTGACAGCTTCTTTCGGTCATCACCCATAAGTCATCACTAACAATGCTAAATATAATCCTTTCCAAATGCACAATGAAATGTTCTGGCTGGTCCTAGTGACGCTGCCTGGAAAGCTTAAGCGTTCTACATTTAGTGGAAGTGAGTTGGAGCATGAGTGATTGAAAAGTATTTGCAAAGCTTCCACAACACTGCACCTAGTGATTTTGCCCCAGTTCGCTTCTCTGGGAATCGTTTTGACATTTTGTGAAGCATGCAATGTCATAACAGTGGCGTGATTGACAACACGCATAACTTATCCTCACCAGCCCATTATTCATGGAAGATGGGTAAACCGTTCAGTCTCCATGATCTGGCTTAATACAAATAATTTAAATCTAATTTGTCAGGGCTTTCATACGGCCTGTATTTTGTGCTTAAATTAGAGAACGGTCCTTATTAAATTCTATTTACGCATGTTTCGGGGTAATGTGCGCAAAAACTGTTATAACCATGCATTTATTCTTGATCCACAATCCGATCTAGCATCCAACTCTGTGTGTTTTGATGCTAAACTAGCAGTTCAGCTTGCCGACAAATGTATTTTGAAAAGTGCTGGTGAAAGAGCACGAAGGTGTAAGCCACTACCAGGCGCCATGAAAAAAAACATTTTATGCTTCCATATGGGACCAATGCACAACTTGGGTCATCTCTTTGAGCAATGCAAAAGGTCAATAAAGGTGGGCTGCCTGTCCATGAGTGTTGCATTTGAGTTTTGAAATGATCAAAAGTACACCTACTTTGGACAAAATTTGCCACCTTTTTGGGCCCTAAGTGTAAACCACACAGTATTTCAAAAGCGTTTGTTTCACTTTGAAGACACACAGTCAAGTGCAATTGGCAGAACTCCAAAAGCCGGTATCCATAAAATAGTGCGGTCAAAATACCTAAAGAGCGGTTGAGGAGACCTCAAGGCATGATCAATTTTAAAATTGGCATGACTAGTTTATTTGATTAAGTCGTTTACTTTCAATTCAAGGCAATCCTTGACAAATGGCGTCTTTAGGTTCCCTCCTCTAAATAAGAATTGCGTAAAACGCATGCATAATTAATTTAAATGCAGGTCTTAAAGCAATGATCTATTAATTGAGGTAAATTAGAACACCAGCATTAAGGCGGGCTAAATTATTTTCTCTTCATCAGACGACGCAGAAAACTGAAGAGAAGAGCGATCCAGTGCAAGTCAGATCTCCAGTACTCTCTCATCACCGGCGTTTCAAGGGTCGAAGCGGTCACAAAGTCCACGCCGAGACCATGGCTCACGAGCTGTGGGTAGATGGACCGAAGGCTACAGCCGACATTGCCATGAGTCCGCATTTCGTGGAGAAGTCTGCCCATTTTGGGACCCCATCGAGAAGGCGACGAAGTGAATCCATCTCCGACAGAGATCAGGTTACTGGCCGACATCTGTGGAACATTTGTTTAGAGCACTGAGTTGCATGAGCAAATCGTACAGCTGGATCTCACTCATATTAGATGCAAAATTAATTCAAGGGCGCTAAAAATGCCTTAAAACTCTGAATGTCTGTCGTTACATTCTCTGCCTCTGCCAAACAGTACGGATTAAAGACATTGGTAAAGTTTTGTCATCTGAACTAACTCATGCCGGTGGCAAAGGGGTTTAAAAAATTTAAAGCTCCTTTTGCTCACTCTTCATCTTAGAGGTTCCTTTGGCAGATAAATGGGTCAAATGGTCTTTCAATGAAGTTGGTGGAATTACTCCCAGAAGTTTAATGGAAAGAAGTTGAGGTCATTCCTCTGCCTTTGGAATCTCCGAAAATCAAGGGATTATGGACCGTACCAACACTTTAGACTTGGATTTAAATATCTTGCATTCATAAAGGTCGCTGAAGTGTCTGAAAAAGCAGAACCACTGATAACCA